AAAACATAAACCCTAAGCCCCTAAATCCGAAACCCCTAAACCCTGATTGTCATTCCAGCATCAGCTCGCCTCTTGGGAGGATTTTCGTCAAGGTACTTGGGTGCCGGATGCGGATCCATGCTGGCTTAGGGCTATAAGATGTAGGGTTTGGGTTTAGGGATACCATGCTGCGAGATACCCAACTAAGGCAGAACACCAAAGAAGTGCGCATGCGAGGATGTAAAAGCTAAGGGCTTTTGATTCACATTCCAGCCAAAATCCTGGACTCTAGACGGTGGTTCACTTGGAAACCTAGGAAAATACTTTTTCACTGTTCCTTATTTCCAAGTAAACCCTAAATCCTACACCCTAAACCCCAATTCAATTTCTGGGCGGTCGCCCTGAGTTCTCAAACCTACACAGCCTATCAAGCCTGATGGGTTTGCAGTCGACGCGGAGATGCTTCAGGTTCAATGGTAGTGGTGCAGGTTGCATATTGTCCACATGAGCTACTGTCTAAACTCCTAGTATCCCCCTTAATAACCCCTATAGTAGTCCCCTATATAATCCCCTATATAACCCCCTTTACGGAGTTTAGACTATAGTCCACATGAGCTGCTAACCTTTGAGCCGTCTTTTGATCCAAGCTTCTGGAGCAACATCTTGCACAAACGAGCACACGCGGCATGGGTAGGGTACAGCTTGGGAGTATGGTTTAGGGTTTAAACCCTACCTGAACCCCAAAAGTATGTGAAATACTGGCCTTTATGGCTGTTACTATGGGTTTAGGGCTATTCTTTTACATACTTTTGGGGTTTAGGTAAACCCTAAACCCTAAACCCCAAACCCCAAAACCCTGAACCCCTAAACCCTAAAACCATAATCACCCATATCATTTTGCGTGGGTTTAGGGTTTTTCAGAAAGCTTTCAAGGTGAATACTCAAGGCCTCGAATAGTCGAAAGTAGGTACTACAGGGCCTGAGTGCGAATATCATGTTGAGGTCTATTCAAGGTGACCTACCTATACCTGGACCCCAAAAGTATGTAAAATAATGGCCTATATGGCTGTTATTATCCGTTTACGGCTATTATTTTACGTACTTTTGGGGTGTATGTACTGTCTGTACTATAGAAATACAATGAACCCAGGACAATGACCTTGATGATCCGCAAATCCCCTACAGTACTATTCGTAGACTGTAGCTGCCCAACGAGATAAAGATACTATTTTGGAGGTAGTCTTTGACGTTTCTGAAGAGGTAGGGCTTTATCGTGTATGGGCCTGAGTGAGTACCTAACATCATGTGTTGAGGTCTAGTTGGGGTACGCCATACCATGATTATGTAAGGGATCACGGCAGTGATATTCACCTAAACTCCAATAATCACATACCTCGCAAAATCCCCAGTACCCAATTAGGGTTTAGGTTTAAGGGTACGTGGGCGCTAGAGAATGAGAATCCAACTGCAAACACGGACCCTTAATCGGCTGACTAACCCCGCAATTGCTCTAGCCCTTGCATTATGCCTGCAGGCCTTGAATGAATACTTTCCCTACCCAAGATCTGCATGACCTTTGCATACCAAAATTCCGAAGATATGAGCTACATTCAACATCTCCCCAGAACATGAATTGACATGGGCTCCATGTAAGGAATATATTTGGGAATATTAGGGACTATACCGAACTACAAGAGGGACTCCTATGTCCTCGAGTAGAGTAGCTAACCCCCAAACCCTAAACCCTAGAACGGCCCCTTAAAAAGGCTAATGTTGAGGCTAGGTCTAGGCTTTAACCGCATGCGTTTTTTCGGGTTTGAATCAGAGAGGGTTCGAATGTCGATAAGACCTACTGGCGATTAGGGGGGCAGCAGGTTTAGGGCTTAGGTCATAGGCTTTAGGAGCTCTGAATGCGGGTGATAAGCTCTACCTAAACCCCAAAAGTATGTACATAGTGGACCTAAGCCCATAATAACAGCCATAGAGGCCATTATTTTACATACTTTTTGGTTCCAGGTAAAGCCTAAAGCCCAAACCCTAAACCAGAGCCGCAGTACTGGCCCAGTTCTCCACCCACCGCCCTGAAACCCTTAGCCCTAGACCTTTCATTTGACCCTGACACAAAGGGTTCCTGCAGGTCTATACTACATGATGACTTAGCGAGACTTGTGGACTGTAGGGTTTAGGTTTTGGGCTACTAGGGTTTATAGGGGTTTTAGGGTTCAGCGTACATAGCACATACTTAGGGCTCAAAGAGGTTCCCATACAACTACTTTAGGGCCCAGGTATACACCGCAGAGCTACGTGGACTCTCTGGATTCCATGATATTCTTTGTTCCTCCATTGCACACCGACCACCAGTAGTAGTAGGAGTGTCAAGCCAACAGATGCTGTGGACGTGGCCGCCCGTCGCTCTTCGTGTCCTATCCCTACGGTAGATGCTCAAAATCCTGCTTGAACCCACGCACCGTTATACCTTGGGGTTTAGGGTTTAGGGTTTAGGGAATTATGGTACTGTAGTATACTAGGGCCATGCTTGAGTATCAACAGTAGTTACACCCCTGGCAACTAAACGCAGTCCTCTGTTGTCCCACCAGTCCTGTCAGCAACACAGAATCTGGTCATAGTTACCTTGGTCTTTCTAGTTGTAGTTTCTCTGAAGCACCATGAGGCATACATACATAAATGTACATATATGTATGTATACGCGCATATATCCGTACCATCACTGTCTCGGATTAGGCGACCTGAAGCCCAAACCGAAGGAATAAAGCCATGTTGTGACGGCTTGCTACAACAAATTTAAGTTTTGATGTGAGGTTGGGCGAGGTCGTTGCAATTTGGCCAGGTACTCAAAGAGTAAGCCCTAAACCCTGAAGCCTAAAATTCATGGTATATAACTAGCCATGGAATAAAGGCAATTGCAGAAGAGGAGTTTCCGATAGGGCGGGTGCTTACATAAGAGGTACAAATCTATAAGTTTTATAGAAAAAGCTCTCCTACACCCAGAGGGTCCAAGTACCAAATATTCATGTACTTACCCAAAACCTGTACTAGAACTGCAAGTAGGCAACCCCCGAGTACCCAACTATTGGGTATTTGGACGTTGTGGGAAGCTCTGCTTTCTCAACTGTGCAATGAATCTCCTCAAGTAGCTACGAGTAGGATAGTTGAGGAGCTGGGGTAGTCACAGGGCTCAAGCGCTTCAAATTCTACGCAGTCTTCAGGTTGTGAGTAACCAGATGACTACCCTTACATCAGCGAATATAGGGAGACTTGGAGGCATACAAAGGCTATGCAGGACTGTTTTGGAGGAAGTTTCCCACCTGAAATTCCGTACACAGACGGTTCAAGTTCCGCTTCCAAATACGAGCTGTTACCACTAAGGCCTTGTCTTGAAATCAGATGAAACAGAGGTCGCCGCAGAGTTTACGGCTGCTAATTACCAATAGAATGGCACGTTGCATAACCTACCTAGCGCAACCCCAACCCCTAAACTCAAAACTTCAACCCTAAGCCCTAAACAAATGTACCGATAAGCAGGAAGTTTGTTACGCGAGACTTCAGTATCCCGCTCCATCCAAGAATAACTCAGGATTTTGGCGATAGTCACTGTAGTACAGGTTTGGAGGAAGTACATATAATCATTGGATTGTTGGACCCTCAGGGTGTTCGTGTCAAAATTTCACTCGCACTATATCTCTATGCCAGCACAGCGCCTCATGTTCTCTATCATGTAACCCGGCCGTCATCCTCAAATGTGTTAGTTGTCAGCATGAAGCTTGCTGTTTCGGTACGTGGACCGGCCAATCAGCCCGTCCCTAAACCCTAAACCCTAAACCCTAAACCTTTAATGGCCGCTCAACTCAAGCACTCTATGTTGGGGTTAGACAGGGAGAATGGAAAAGAACATGGATACTACTTCATTATTCTGGGGTACATTTTTTGGGATTATAGTTAGGTGTTCGGGTGATCAAAAAATCCTGTTTCGATTATCGGCCCACCCTGAGAGGGAAACCTGCAAACCCAACATAGACCCCAAACTGAAGACCTTAAGCAGCTCTAAAACAACCGTTTGTAGTTATCACAGCGTCTGATGATGTCTACAGAGCTGCTCTTACGGCCTAGTGCCCAGGAAGTTAATTTCCATTGTGGTCATTTTGGGAGCATGATTTTGATCAACTACCGTATCGGGACTATTGTAGGGACATGGGGGATTGGGCTTTAGACACTATAATGCAGGCATCCTAGCCCGAAACCGTAAACCCTAAGCCCTATGGTAAGGATCCATTCCATCATTCTTTACCAGGCGGCCCAGGGCACCTCAAGATACAGAACCGTACTGGTAACAGGTTCAACGGGGCTTGGCATATTGTAGGATCTAGGTAGCATGTAGTACATGTCAAGAAGGTGTTAAGTTCTGGTAGCCCAGGTTCATCGACACGTGAGTTGCAAGAGCCGTCATGGAGGGGGTATATGGAGTTTGCAAGGATTTTACTGGCGACGTGCTGCAGGGACCTCCTGTAGGGTTTAGAAGCCCAAAAACCTACACCCGAAAAAATGGGTCGATCCCTCTCACGGTAACAGCTACAGGGCGTACTAGAAGTTGTAAAAACCTGCTTGGAAAACACTGTTATGGGCATTCCTGAGAGAGCAATGACCCCAACAAAATGTTTAGGCAGACGGCTAGAGCCTTCATATGGTTGGCTCACAAAAGAAACGGCAAAATCCTACTCCCTGAAGAGCCACCCCGGGCACCCTTCGCCAAACGCTCTGAGCCCTGTACATTAAACACGAATACCTAAATCCAGAATCCCTAAATCCTAACTCCCACAACCCTAATCCAAGCATTGAAATGCGTTTGGCTTTCATTCCCGAACCCTCCTGAAACCCTATAAGCCCTATAAACCCTAAGCCTTAAAACCCCAAACAACCCTAAACCCTAAACCTTAAACCCCTAAACCCCTAAGCCACTAAACCCTAAACCCTAAGCCCCCTAGCCATATCGCTCGGATTCCGGCCTTCTTATTCTTATTGCCGGAATTGCTCTGCCAGTCGTTCCACTTGTTCCTTTGGGGTTGAAAGCTGAAGGTGTAGGGCTTATAAACCCTAAACCCTAAACCCCAAACTCTGAACCCCAAACCCTAAACCCCAAACCCTAAACCCTCAACCCTAAACCCGATTAGGATTTGGGGCTTCGAAGTCGGGGTTGAGGGCTCAGGGTCTGGGGATTCGGCTTGTTAAAACAATCCAGAGGCCGACATGAGGCTATATGGGAGCCATGTTGTATATGTCTGAGGGTTTAGGGTTTAGGGTTTGAGGGTCTGTAGCGAATATATCTAAGATTAATCTTGGGGCCTCAACCCCCCCTTATCTGGATACATCGACCTTCTGGGCATATAGCCCACCACAACGGCTGACATCCGAAGAGGTTGTTCTGCTTTGCCCGCACAGGCGCATGAACGAACAAACCTATACAAAAAAGACTAACCACGGCATCGCAGGGTGCGGCCAAGCCGCCCCCTGGCACAGTCAGGCAACAAGAGGCATGCATGCATGGTGACGTTTAATTTAAGGTGTATTATAAAGGCTCGCTGAGGCGTCGCGACGAGACGCGACGTGCGAAAGCTAAGTCCCCGTCAGTGACCGACCCATTACAGGTGTCTAGGGTTTTTGGGCAAGGCTTTTCGAGGCATGGAAACGGAAATGACGGTCCAGGGCAGCGAGAGCGGAAATTTCGACACTGCTGCAGATTCTTAGCGGGTCCTTATTTTGGGGGTTGGAGCTACCACAACAATTCTCCCATGACAACACAAGTCTCGTAATTATAATCGTATGGGGCTTCAATGGAACATTCTGGTAATGCTTTACTTGAACAAGGAAACCCTAAACCCAAGACCCTAATCACCACGCTGAGAGTCTCTATCAGCCCGCGAGACCGCGAGTGAAATGCTTATGGTCTAGGGTTTCCCAACGCCCTGAACGCCCAAACCTTCCACCGCGAAAGCCTCAAGTAGTCCTAGGAGCCCTAGGGTAACCCTACAAGTAACAGACTAGGGCCGTAAGATTTTTTGGGGGAGGAACTTACATCTGGCTTTTCATAGTGCACACCCGCAAACCCAGGCCCAGAGAGCACCAAGAAACTTTAATGAGCCCCAATGCCCTACAAAGCCTTCACCTTGTGGGGACCAGAGTAGCACCTTGAGTTTTGGTGGGTACCCGCAAAATGAACTATGGCACGTGGAGGTAGACGCGAGGTACCTTGAAGCCCAAAACCAAAAACCTTAAACCCTGAGCCCCGAAACCCTACACCCTACACCCTAAACCCTATGAATCCTAAACCCTAAACCCTAATTTTGGCGGCTCGAGTCATCAGAAAACCTACCAAAAAAAGACCTCCCAGAATCTTTGAGGCTGTTGGGGCTGGGGAAGCCTTCCAGGGGTCCCGGAGTCCCAAAGGAAACTGTCAGGACTTGGGGCCTCCGGGGTATGTCTTGGATTGTGGAAGTTAGAGGTGCTGACTGTAAAGATTTTATCTATGTTGTTGACCAAGATGGACCTAACTGAGTAGTGTGCTTTTTGGTGGTTAAACCCAGTAAGATTATATTCCTTATAAAAAAAAAGCTATACCCCAAAAGGAGGACATAATCTTACTCTATAATGGGTACCATAGTCCCCAATTAAAATACTACTCAACTGAGTTTAGGTCATAAACTCTGAAAGGAGTATTTAAGTGGTTTGGCCGCCTCAGAAGGCGTGGGGTGGGTGAATGTTTTAGATGGCCAGCCACAGCCGGGCCATGGTAACGCTTCGCATGCACTTCAAGAGTCGTTCAAGCCTAATCATCACTGCTTGCACAGTTACTCACGGCAAACCCTAAACCCTAAACCCCAAAACCCTAAAAGCCTAAAAGCCTAAACCCTAAACCCTAAGAGCCTAAAACCCTAATAGCCTAAACCCTAAACCCAAAACCCCAAACCCGAAAGCCTGAACCCTATGTCTGAAACAGGACCAGTATTCCAGGACGTCGAAGAGGAGCTCCAAGAGTTCCAGTTCTGCGTAGAGCTTAGGGTTTAGGGTCTAGGGTTGGGTTAGGGTTTAGGGTTTAGGGTTTAGGGTTAGGGGTGGGGTTTGGGGCTTGAGGTTGTTGGGCCTTTGTAGAATTTCGTATGGGGTTAGGGTCTAAGGAAATTCCAGGTGTGTAGTTTCCCATATGAGGCTTTCAACGCTGTCATGTACCCATAGTCTGCCCGTATAAGCATTAACTAAGCCCTATGTAAGGGTACTCACCTGGTAACTCCTCTAAAAACATCCTTTTAAATTGCTGTAAGATTGCAGAGTGCAGGGTGTAGGGTTTCAAGTTCAAGGGTTTGAGGTTCTTGAGAATCATATACCCCAATACCCCATACCTACAGAATACAGGGCGTAGGATTCGGTGTGGAGGCTCTTGGGATTCATATACCTAACTTGTTCCACCTGGGCTATACTGTCCAGTAGCTGGAGTAGCATAGAAGGCTCCGCTACATATTCCCTGTATATAGCACCAATGTATGATATAATACAGGAAACATATGAGCCCCTGTCTAAACTCCTAGTATCCCCCTTGATAAGCCCTATAGAAGTCCCTTATATAATCCCCTTTATAACCCCCCCTTTAAGAAGTTTAGACTGTAGCTCATATATCATCAAGTTGTGGGCGTCCTGTTCTGTGGGGAAGTCGAATACAACTGGCTCTTGAGCTGTTGGCTGGTACGCCAAACCTTTCCTCAGACCAAATGACCTTCCGTTCTATATCTGTAAATCTATGTATGTATGAATGTATTTAACCGCCAAGGTCCGTCCATTGAAGGTCTTCGGGTTTCAGGTTAACTTCTGACCGGAATCCAAAAATCCTGAATCCTAAAACCGTACACACAAAGCCTCGCATGCCCTAAAGGAACTATGGGCCCGTAATATGGGCCGTTATTATACATGGCATGCCTATGTAACCAGTATATACCCTTTACATTTTAGATGTGTGTAGATGAGCTCTAGTCTGAAATCCTTGAAGGCAGTTATATTACATAGGGGATTATATAGGGGACGACTATAGGTTTCATTAAAGGAATACTAGGAGTTTAGACTATAGCTCATATGGAATATTTCTATTCGTCAAATTCTGCCTGGAATCTGCCTCAAGCGGCGAAGTGCCCATAGCGGGGGCCCACACTTCAAAGCTTAGGAAATCCCGAAACCCGAATACCAGGGCTTTAGGTCCCAAGTCCTCACTCTCAATGGCGTTTGGGACCGAAAGCCCCAAGCCCCAAACCCTAAACCCCAAAACACCCTAAATCCCTAAGCCTTAGACCCTAAACCCCAAATCCCTAAATCCGTAAACCCTAAATCCCTAAACCCTAAACCCCTTAAACCCTAAATGCTTGAGGAATCGTGGGGTTCCCGGCCTTTGACTCATTCCACGACTGGCCCTGGGAGTTTCCCCCAGCCTTTGACTCGTTCCATGTCTGCCCCTGCGAGGACAGGTTTAGGGGTTTAGGTTTAGGGTTTAGGGGTTAGGGGGTTTAGGTTTAGGGTCTAGGGGTTTAGGGGTTTAGGGTTCTAGGGGTTGGGGTTTA